TTCCTTCCTTCCTTCCTTCCTTCCTTCCTTCCTTCCTTCCTCCTTCCTTCCTCCCTCCCTCCCTCCCTCCCCTTTGGTCCTAGCACTGATGATGTTACCTCATTTGAGTAATGAAATGCCTGCAAGAAAACCAGCAAGCTCAGAGAGCACCAAGGAGCCCTCATGTCAACTCTCAGCTACAAATACTTTTCTTTCTTTCTTTCTTTCTTTCTTTCTTTCTTTCTTTCTTTCTTTCTTTCTTTCTTTCTTTCCCTTTCTTTCTTTCTTTTTCTTTCTTTCTTTTTCTTTCTTTCTTTTTCTTTCTTTCTTCCTTCCTTCCTTCTTTCCTTCCTTCCCTCCCTCCCTCCTTTTAGTCCTAGCACTGATGATGTTACCCAGTTAGGTTAATGAAAAGTCTGCAAGAAAACAAGCAAGCTCAGAGAGCACCAAGGACCCTTCATGTCAACCCTTCTCTCCTTCCTTCCTTCCTTCCTTCCTTCCTCCCTCCCTCCTTCCCTCTTTGGTACTAGCATTGATGATGTTACCCAGTTAGGTTAATGAAAAGTCTGCAAGAAAACAAGCAAGCTCAGAGAGCACCAAGGAGCCCTCATCTCCACCCTGAGCTGCAAATAAAAAAACAGCTGGCCTAAACCTATCCCCATTCACCCAGGATCCAGCAGTTCTCGGGATCACAGGTTGTCCATTTCTGAATTAGGGACAGAAGAGAGACAGGGGAAGACCACACAGGCTAGCGAAGGTGGCACAGAGGGCTGCTTCCAACAACTCCAGAGTCCAGCTGCCCTGGGCACTCCACAAAGGGTGACTCTGCGGTGGGAAAACTCCGAAGGGTTCACAGCTTATAGTAGCCACGATGGGAGAAGCCTCTCCCTTTATGGTCTATTCCTGCCGAAATGTCCTCCCTGCAACTACACCCTCTTGGCCTCTGTCCTTGGACTACCCAGGACTAAATGCTAGGCATTCAGAGGTAGACTGCGGCTACAGCTGGAAGCTCCCTGCAGCCGTGGGCTCCGAAAGCCAGCGCAGAGCTTCTAGGCCAGTACCCACAGGATTGTTGGTCGAAGACACAATATGAGGAGTTGGGGCAGCCCCTGGTGGCCAGGATTGTTGATCGGAGACACAATATTTGGGGGGTGGGAGGGGAGGGAGGGCAGCCCCTGGTTGGCAGGAGCTCCCAGCTGCAAAAAGGCCATTTCAAAGTGACTGCAAAACGCAAAGCTTACTGCAAAGGTGGGGGGGGGGGAGAGAGCGCTATTACATTTCTTTCCCCTTCCCCAGGGTTTTTCTGCACCATGTCTCATTTTCAAAAAAAAAATAATCCTCAGATTGCCTTCTCTTAACGATCCCTAGTGCAAATTAGTCACACACATACACACACACACACACACACACACACACACACACACACACACACAGAGGCATTATTGTCCCTGGTGATCAAAGATTCTTGGGAAAAGGATCAGCAGCCAAACCTATGCTGGATTGAGGGGTGGGGGGGAATAAACCAGGAAAGCACAGCATTGAGTGGGATAATTTCAGCTAAAATAGCTCAAGCCAGGAAGAGGAACAATCTAAGAACAAGGCTTAACAAACCAGAAATAAATTAACAGTCTTCCTAGGTTGGGAAACCTGGCTTGGAAAGCAAAACCTCTCAGCTCTGCCCGAATTGGGCCTGGAAAACGCTGCTCCTGTTTGCACGATCGGAATAGAGGTGGAAGGGACCTTGGAGGTCCTCTAGTCCAACCCCCTGCTCAGC